CATATTGTTAAGCTCTTCCCAGAAGAGGCACACTAACCCAAAATTATTATTTCTGTAAGTGGAAGAACACCCATGTCTTGGTTAGATATGATAATAGCAGATCGTGATATGGTAAATGATAAAGTAGATATGTTTGTGCCTTCAGAGGGTTACATTATATCACGAAGAATAACAAAACTACACATTTAATAGGTACTAACTCGATTCACTCACAGATCTGAATTATCAGAAGAAGGGCAAAATAAAGAGTTGGAAGCATGCACTACCAAAGGTAATTTTAAGAGATAGCTTGATCTTTTTGATGGAATGTCTGGCACATCTTGTGAGGTAGATTTTTAAGGGAAAACTAATGAAGAACTATAAATAACTCAGGTTGGAGGACACTGCAGGGCTAAATATGAGCTGCTTAGGACCTTGCCCTGTAGCTTGGGATGATTGTAGCACCCACAGATGGAGCTTCTGCAGCACAACTAGGAAATCTCTTCCAGGGTCTATCTCCCATTGCTGAGCAAAATATTCCTTTGTCTAGCTAGAATTTCCCTTGCTGCTGCTTGGGTATGTTGGGTCTCACCCTTTGCTGCTCACTTCCAAGATTCTAGTTTCATTTTGCCTTCAACCCCCATCAGGTTTCTGGAAACAGCAGTTAGAACTTCCCTTGTTTTTTATTCCTTATAGGCTAACCCAACCTAGCCTTTTTATTGCACAATGCTCTGGGCCTCCAAACATCTCAGAAGTCCTGCTCTGGACTTACAAGGGACAGATGCTGCCAAACTGGTGTATTAGGTGCAACCTGGACACAAGACTCCAGATGAAGGCTCACTACCCTCAAGAAGAGCAGAAACCACCTCCCTTTATTTTCTGCTTCAGACCAGGAAGCGACTGGCTTCGATCATCACAAGGGCCCGCTGCAGACATGCCCAGCTTGCTCATCCCACCTCTGGGGAAGGGCCTTCTGCAGCTTATAGGCTAACCCAACCTAGCCTTTTCATTGCACAACGCATGCTGTGGTCCTCCAACCATCTCAGAAGTCCTGCTCTAGACTTACAAGGGACAGATGCTGCCAAACTGTTGTATTAGGTGCAACCTGGACACAAGACTCCAGATGAAAGCTCACTACCCTCAAAAAGAGGAGAAACCACCTCCCTTTATTTTCTGCTGCAGACCAGGAAGCGACTGGCTTCGACCATCACAAGGGCCCGCTGCAGATGCTCAGCTTGCTCATCCCACCTCCGGGGAAGGGCCTTCTGCAGAGCTTTTAGGCAGAGCTTGTCTAGCTCAGCCTGTTCCTGAACCTCCTTCCATGAGCTTGTCAGGATCCTCTGAAGAGCAGCTGGGCTCTCTAGGGTAGCAATTGTTCCCCTCAATGTATATCCACAATCTGGATGGTTGGGAATTCTCCCGAGATGAAATGAGCTACTATTGCTGCCACAACAGAGTTCATCCTGATGCGAGATACTTGACCGAAAAGCTTCTGTGTTCCCCTCAATGTATATCCACAATCTTGATGGTTGGGAATTTTCTGAAACTGAAATGAGCTACTATTCCTGCTATGACAGAGCTCCACCCTGATGCGAGATACTTGAATGAAAAGCTTTCCTTACACACATGGTCTACTGCTCTCCCA